CACGTGATGATCTCAGCCAATCAGGAATGGGATCTACCTGCAACCAATAGGAAACCTGGGGGGAAATTAGTAAATGCCCGTTTTCCGACATTAATTATCCATGACCATAGTTGACCAATGAAATTTCGGGGATCGACAACCAATTAGATGCTGACGGGTGTAGACTTCTTCGGTTCCTCCTAACGGATCCTTTCTCCACACGTGTCATACATACGTACCTCCAATAAAAACTAGCTGAGAAATTTAAGTTTAAAAAAAAATATTTTTTTAATTTTTACGATGGCTACAGGTAAGTAAAATTATCTTCGTGGTAGATAGCGTTTTTTGTGCTATTAATTTTAACTAGCATGACATTTACTATCAATTAGAGGACGTTATTCAACAACAAAAGAGACTTGCCACTTATACAGCACCTTCTGACGTGTATGAAGATCTAGTGGGCAGTGACGATGAAATTGATCCATTTAAAGACCGGCAAGGATCTCGCAGAATTATTGATCGACAGAGCGAATACCACTCACGTAGATTAAATCGAGCAATATCACCAGAAAGAAATGATCCCTTTGCAGAAGGAGAAGATGGAAAGGGTGATTCGCGTTCCTATGCTGATGTTATGCGAGAGGCTGAGTTAGAAAGAGAAGAGGTGCGTGTTAGACGTAAAGTTGAGGAAATAGTTAAAGAAAAAAAGGAAAAGGCCAAAGAGGCATCGGTAGAACAGGCAGCTACTCAGAAGAAACGAAGATGGGACATGGAGACACCCGTAGAAGTTAAATCAAGCTCTGAATGGTCAAAACCTGATGATGAGGCACCTATATCAAAGAGCAGATGGGATGAAACACCCAGGACGATGGATGAAGACACTAGTTTAGAGACTCCTCGCAAAAGGAGCAGGTGGGATGTTACTCCACAGGTCTCGACAAAAAAATCTCGTTGGGACGAAACCCCTGCACATCCATCTGTCCAAATGGGTGCCACTCCTGTTGGCAACCTTGGTCTTCTCACACCGACTCCAGGACATCTTGTTCTTATGACTCCTGAAGGTTAGCAGCTTATCATAAATATTCAAAATTTTCATATAAATTTGTTTTAACCATTAAATAAATATTATTAAATTAAAAACAAATAGCACAACGATGGGAAAGAGATTTAGATGCACGCAATCGACCTCTTACAGATGAGGAACTTGATGCAATGTTTCCTTCAACTGGGTACAAAATTTTGGACCCACCACCAGGATACGTTCCTATTCGAACACCTGCTCGCAAATTAATGGCTACCCCAACGCCTATGGGTGGTGATGGATTTGTGATGTTGGAGGAAGATCGAAATCAAACTTATGACCTACCCGCTGAAATCCCAGGTGTAGGCAATTTGCCATTTTTTAAACAAGAAGACATGCAACATTTTGGTAAACTATTAGAAGACAAAGATGAAAGTGAATTATCTGTTGATGAGTTGAAGGAACGTAAAATTATGCGTCTTCTTCTGAAGATAAAGAACGGAACCCCGCCCATGAGGAAGACGGCACTTCGACAAATAACTGACAAAGCTCGAGATTTTGGTGCAGGTCCTCTATTCAATCAAATTCTTCCTCTTTTGATGTCGCAAAATTTAGAAGATCAGGAAAGACACTTGTTGGTCAAAGTCATAGACCGTATACTTTATAAATTGGATGCTTTGGTTCGTCCTTATGTTCACAAGATCCTTGTGGTTATTGAACCGCTTTTGATCGATGAAGATTATTTCGCACGATGCGGTATGTTATATGAAATTCGTTCCATATGTTCGTTACATTCTGTTTTTATTTTAACAATGTAATTATTAATCTTAATATTATTTATATTATTACAGAGGGGCGTGAAATTATAAGCAATCTGAGTAAAGCTGCAGGATTGCCAACTATGATTGCTACTATGAGACCAGGTATTTAAGTTCAATGATCTTTTTATTTAAAATCGTTGTGAAGATGACTAAAGTTTTTATTAAAATTTGTAAGACATTGACCATGTGGATGAATATGTCCGAAATACTACCGCCCGTGCTTTTTCTGTTGTTGCGTCTGCTCATGGTATCCCTGCACTTCTTCCGTTTTTGAAGGCCGTATGTAAGAGTAAAAAATCATGGCAGGCTAGACATACTGGTATTAAGATTGTTCAACAAATTGCTATTCTGATGGGATGTGCAGTACTGCCCCATTTAAAAAATTTAGTTGAAGCTATCGCTCATGGTTTAGAGGTATTTTATATTCAATTGTTGCACTATTCTTTGAGCTTGAACGTATTTACTTATTTATAATTTACTATGCAATAAAAGGATGAACAACAAAAAGTTCGTACCATCACCGCTCTAGCCATTGCTGCTTTAGCTGAAGCCGCTGCACCATATGGTATAGAGTCATTTGATTCTGTTCTCAAACCTCTTTGGACTGGTATTCGTAAACATCGTGGTAAAGGGCTTGCTGCTTTTTTGAAGGCCATCGGATACATTATTCCATTAATGGATGCTGAGTATGCTAATTACTATACAAAGGAGGTCATGATTATTTTGATTCGAGAATTTCAATCTCCTGATGAAGAAATGAAAAAGATTGTTCTTAAGGTCGTAAAGCAATGTGCTGCAACTGATGGTGTTCAACCAAAATACATTAAGGAGGAAATTCTTCCAGAATTTTTCAAAAACTTTTGGGTTCGACGTATGGCTCTCGACCGTCGAAATTACCGCCAAGTTGTAGAAACGACTGTTGAACTCGCACAGAAGGTTGGTGTTACTGAAATTGTTGGTCGAATTGTTGAAGACTTAAAAGATGAGTCTGAACCATATAGAAAAATGGTCATGGAAACTGTTGAAAAAGTTGTCAGTCAATTGGGTGCAGCAGATATTGATACTAGATTGGAAGAGGTGTTAATTGATGGTATTTTATATGCCTTTCAAGAACAAACTGTAGAGGACATCGTGATGTTAAATGGGTTTGGTACAGTCGTCAATGCTCTTGGACTTCGCGTGAAACCTTATCTGCAACAAATTACTTCTACTATTTTGTGGCGTCTCAACAATAAATCTGCAAAAGTTCGTCAACAAGCCGCCGATCTAATATCTCGTATTGCTGTTGTCATGAAGACATGTGGTGAAGAAAAACTCATGGGTCACCTTGGTGTTGTCCTTTACGAATATTTAGGCGAAGAATATCCAGAGGTGCTTGGATCTATTTTGGGAGGATTAAAATCTATTGTCAACGTAATTGGCATGTCAAGTATGACACCACCCATTAAAGATCTTCTTCCCCGTTTGACGCCTATCTTGAAGAACAGACATGAGGTTATATCTCGATTTTATTATCGTTTATTATATTATTGTATTTACTAAACAATAGCTATATTTTTTATGCGAATTCAATTTATTAGAAAGTACAAGAATCTTGTATTGATCTTGTAGGTCGTATTGCCGATCGTGGTGCAGAATTTGTTAGTGCAAGAGAGTGGATGCGCATATGTTTCGAGTTATTAGATATGCTTAAGGCACATAAAAAAGGTATCCGTCGTGCTACGGTAAACACATTTGGCTATATTGCTAAAGCAATTGGTCCACAAGATGTTTTGGCAACGTTACTTAATAATTTAAAGGTTCAAGAACGTCAAAACAGAGTTTGCACTACAGTAGCTATCGGTATGTCTTACTTTTGAATTTAATTCTTTAGTATTCCGGTTTAATAACATTACACTTGTTTATTTCATCTAATTATACCAGCTATAGTTGCCGAAACCTGTGCACCCTTCACGGTCTTACCCGCGTTGATGAACGAATACCGCGTTCCAGAATTGAATGTTCAAAATGGTGTTTTAAAGGTTCGAACTTTCTTATTCATAAAGCATTGCTGCCAACCCAGTTGACTTGGTTTTGATTTTGATTATTACGATAGTGTGATTATTAGTGTTTGTACAAAATAACAAATAAAACTCTTTGAATAACGTTGGGATGCTTATTCAACTTCGATAACATTCACTCTGTGATATATTTCAAAATCAGATAATAAATACTGCGTGAAGATCTTGTCAGCTGGGTTGAATATATTCATTTTAATTTCATGCTTATTTATAGTTTCATTCATGTATTTTTATTTTTATTTTTTATTTTTTTAGTCTCTTTCATTCTTATTTGAATATATTGGTGAGATGGGTAAAGATTACATTTACGCTGTAACTCCATTATTGGAAGATGCATTGATGGATCGTGATTTAGTGCACAGACAAACTGCATGCACTACAGTTAAACGTGAGTACTATGTATATGCATAATATTACACAAACTCTGCTAATCGAGAATTAATCGTATTTGGTATATTTAGATATGTCACTCGGTGTTTTTGGATTGGGTTGTGAAGATGCCCTTCTTCACCTTTTAAATTACGTCTGGCCAAACATTTTTGAGACTTCTCCTCACGTCATAAATGCTGTCATGGAGGCAATAGAAGGTTTGAGAGTAGCGATTGGTCCAGCAACGATTTTACAATATGTATTACAGGTTTGTAGATATATAATTATTCGTACTGTAAACTATGAAATATATTGGTATTTATTAATTTTAAATTCTTCAGGGGTTGTTCCATCCCGCCCGTAAGGTCCGTGAAATCTACTGGAAGATATATAACAATTTATATATTGGTGCCCAAGATGCTTTGATACCATATTATCCTCGCATCGAGGATGATGAAAGAAACAATTATGAACGGTATGAATTATCTATGTGGCTTTGAACTAGGGGTGGTAAGTTAGTTTAGGTTTGGTTTAGTTTCTAAAACCTTTAGGTTTCAAATTAAAATCCTTAGAACCAGGTTTTTATTTTATAGGTTCCAAACCTAAGTTAAACCTGGTTTGGTAAATTTTAAAAACTATTCTCAATATTTGTAAGACAAAAATAAAAATATATTAATAAAAAGTTAATTCATGTCAAACTTTCAAAAACATATTTTGATCGTCTGTATAACTTTAAAATTTTACCTTTATAAGATAAAAGGGGTAATATGGTGTGTTGGGTAAAGTTACATATCACATAATACCAAACTTAACATGAAGTCTATCAAATAGAGTCTAATAATTACACCATTCAATTTGTCTAACCAAGATGATTTGAAGTATAAAAAAAACATTTGTTTCTTATCACTAAATTATTAAATAGTCATACGTATAAATGACCTGATTCATATAAAGCGCAATTATTCTTTTATTTAGATCTATTAGTAAATTTTCTACAATCTATTTTATAAATTATGTATACGTATTATATTTAGAGAATTGCTATTTTCACCCCCCATTTTTGCTAATCCCACCCCCCAGATATCAAAAAGTGCCCGGAAGAGGTATTTTTATTAAGTAAATCCTTATTTTGGCCTTAATAAAAGTTGTTCATCAGACCTTTCCGGTTCTAATGGTAGTAAAATCATTAAAATCGGACCAATAGTTTTTTTTTTTTAAAGTAAATAAAAGGTAACTAACTTCGGATATATATATCTTAGGAACTGCTGGTCCGATTTTAATGATTTTACTACCACTAGAACCGGAAAGGTCTGTTGAACAACTTTTATTAAGATCAAAATAAGGGTTTGCATAATAAAAAATCTCTCCCGGAGCACTTTTTTAAATTTTGGGGGTGGGATTAGCAAAAATGGGGGTGAAAATAGCAATTCTCTATATTTATACAGTATAAAAATTTCTAATGAAAATAGATGTTTTCAAAAACAAATATATAGTATGAATATAAAAATCGGCATTGTTAAATCACACCGGTGGTGTTTTAACACCACAGTTGCTATTTCTCAAAAACTGTAAACAATCAAGGCCGAATGTATTAAGTAAAAATGTTCAGCGACCAAAAAACTTACCCCAAGTTTAGTTTTAGCTTTGATTTTTAGTCTATAGCTTCTAATTTATCTTAATTTTTAACCCTAACCTTAAATATATATTAACAAAATTATAATAATTATGGATAATTGTATAAAAATAATATACGAAAATTATTTTGTTTTTAAATTAAATACGCTTAATTTAACTAATAATATATACTATATATTTACTGCATTTTATTTTTAATATTTATAATTAAATATTATATTTTTATAAAAATAAAATACTAAATCTATAAAATTTTTTTACAATTATAAAATAATCTATATTTACAAAATCTATTTATTTATATATATTTATAATTTATATAATTTTTTTAAAACTATTTCTATACTAACAATTCCAAATCCTACAATAATTGCTATAATAATAAAATTACAATCAAAATTAAAGAATATTTTTAAGAAATAAATTAACAAATGGGTGTCTTTAAAATGGACCTGGGGTCTAGGTTATTAACCTATGACCAAAAATAATTAAATTAAATTTAAATAGTCATCACGTGCTAACTAACCCTAACCCTAAAAAACTAAATTGAGAGTAGGATAATACCCTAGACCCCAGGTCTATTTTAAAGACACCCTTAACAAATATATAGTTAAATAAAATACCTGTTGTAATAATATCCCATTTTTTTTGCTCATCATTTTGAAGTTTTTCTTGCTTAAGTAATTTAATTTTTTGTTGGGCCTCTATTAATTCTTTTTGTATAATTAAATTCTGATGGTTAATTTTTTCAAACTGTTTTTTAATTATTTCATATGCAAACATTAATGTCTTGATTTGTTGAGTTAATGTAATTTTATCATTTTCATGTTTTGCTAATGCTTTTTTAATAATGTTAATCGTTTCAATCCACTCTAATCTTCTTATTACCCAATTATTATCATTTTCAAAAGCTTGGTCAATTATTTTAATTAACGCGTTCGATAAATATTTTACCATCGGATCCTTTGATGATAAAGATGATTTCAAAATAGGATTCTCCTCAAATAGTAATATTGACGGTCCTACCACACCTGGTGGAAGAATGAATGGAATGGAATAATCAAGGTTATTCGGAGTTGAATGTTCTTGTAAATAATTTGAACATTCACCTAAGCTAGAACTGTAAAATAAATATTATTAACACATTTAGAAAAGTATTTAAACGAAAGTAAAGATATAATTACCAATTGGATGGTTGAAGACTTTTTGCTTCCAGTTTTGTCAAATAAATATCAGAATCGTGCATATAGTCCACAGCATTAGAAACCTCTTCCAATTTTCGAGTATAAGGCTTTCTATATTTTTCATTGGACATTGCAGGTGAAGTTCCTATCAGCAAATAGTAACTAATGAGTCAGTTGTATGATAAGAGACTAATAATAGCTTGACAAAATTCTCTACCCATGAAATGATAATTACTTGTCGGAATATGCATAATAGAGTCAGTGACATTTGAAATCCCGAATCCCGATATTAGTTGTTTTCCTTTAATCCTAGTCTCAAACTCCTCTACATTTCCAGGATTAACTGTCAAAAAATTTTTTGTTTTGAACGCAACAACACCGCTAGTGAAAATAACATGGGATATTAGAGTAAATCATCCTATATTGGCAAGCTATTTTGATCTGTAATTAGTTCCAATACTTACGGCTGTTGGCAATTATCTTTTCGTATATTACTTTCTGAATTCTGAACTGAATTAAAATCAGTAAAAGTTTCCACAGGTGTTTTATTGATAGGAGACGCTGAACAAATTTGTGAAGAGTACTCTGGCGGGGATGACGAGAGGAGTTGTGACTGCCAACTAGTCCCGGAGGAATTAGAATCTGTCATAGTCTTAGAAAATGCATTTACACACAAATGTGGGTCAAATGTGGAAGAATGGATTGAAGTAGTTGGGTCATAAGAATTTGTAGACGTTAAGGGATATTCAAGATTCATCTTTAAAGTCTGGGAAATGAATATCGAAGTGAGAAACAGAACTAGATGCAAAGGAAGTACTATTTATAAAGTCGGCAGTTTAGCTTCGTGTTCCGTATATTGTCTTTGTGAATCATTGGGGACCAAAATCTAATGTTATAAATGAGACAAGTAAAACTTGCATAAATTTACCAAGAGGTAACAAATTGTATGTATTCTGTCATATTTTTTACGTAAAAAATACCGACGAGAACATTTTTTTTTTTTTTTTTTTTACCGAGTTTCACATACTGATACGTGATTGCACAAATCTTAAACATCACGGATAAAATATGTTGCATCAACAAACTTTATCATGGCTAATTTTGTATCCCAACCCACTCACTAACGTATTGTTCGTCCCGGACAACAAAACTAGTTAATAAATATAGAATCTCGTGATCATAAACGGCAAATTGTATTCCGTCACGAGAATTCCAATACTGACAACAGGCTAAAATAACTGATACAGATTCACGAGGATTTCATGCAATTATGTCATCCAAACCAGTTTGAAGTTCTAATCAATCGTGTCAAAAAAGTCTTTTGCTGCAAACCACCGATTTTTATCGAGTTTGTACAAATTATTAAATTATTATATGTTGAGCTTGAAATTACATATTCACGTAACGCATGCAGAAGATACGTAGAATCATATGAAACAATTTCTTTGCATTTTAGAATTATAATACGTACAGTAAATTGCAGGCACTTTAAAAACCTATATATCATTATTGGCACTTTAAAAAAATCTCACGTACGTACGTAGTTGTCTACGATATCAAAATTATTAATAATACTGTATTCCGAAATCTATATAAAATTTTTACAATGCCTTAAGAATAATACATTGCATATACGTATTCTGAAGTTTTCATAATATTAATTAATAAAATTTTGACTTTATTACATAGCGATAGCTACGTATGACTATTGATTATTTTATAAAAACTAGTTAATGTGTTATTTTTCAGTGCCCACGTGCTATAAAAATGTTTAAAGGAAGCTGGTATTTTTACACCCAATGTGACGTATTAACATCTTTAATTTAGACATGTATAGTTGTGCATATAGTTTACTTTATTAATTAATGCAAATTAACAATTGTAACGGTCTTTATTTGACATGGATAGATTTTATTTGAGACTTGAAAATTCATTTTACTGTAATCGAAGTAAATCGCAGTAAATCACAGTAAACCACATACTTTCTGTGATTTGCTTCGATCACGGCAAAAATCACCAATTTCAGAGTAAATTATATATAAAACTTGTGGTATTTATTTTTTTTTAAAAAAAAATTTTACAAATAAACTATTAAGTAATATTATAAAGCAAGAGTGTGGTGACTTAGTGTAGTAGGAAGAATCACAAATAGTATTGGGTAAGGACCAAAATTTTGAAATTTTTTTTTTTTTTTTTTTTTTTTTTTTTTTTTTTTTTTTTTAAACTTGGCTAGGAAAGCTGGTGAAGCCTTTATTAGATCTATCTGTAGATATATACATAATTTTTAAACTATATTACAACCTATTACTAGGCTATGCTAACCCAACTAGCAACCTGACCTTTATCTGGCTACCCTAATAGGTGCCCAAATATATCTTAGTTGCACCACTAGCATACTATAGCTGAAACTAATACTAGCGGTTAGAGTATCTCCTACTCTGCAGAGACATTGCTATTAAACCACCCACTGATATGGAGGATCAGACCCGTATCCGATACTACTCCTGCATCCTGAAACCACTATATCTAGCTAGACTATGTTCTCTACATCACCCACCTTTTCGCTTCTATATAACTTTCAAATTGGTAATATTTGGGTTATAGATCCTAATAATCTCCTAGTTTGGTGTGTCATATTATTAGTTCTTCTAAGGAAATTCTAACAAAGGTCCAGGATCTGCAGGAACTCGTATCTCAAGCTAGAAACTGCTGCCTAGTTAGGTTCACCACATGATAAAGTTGGTATTTCGTTGACGGGTATTCCTTTCCACATTTCTGTTCAGATACTACTAACCCGTATCTCAAGCTAGCTTCTGCTGCCACAGTTCAACCACAGTTGCTCAGTACATTTCTTTATTCTTTTAAGTACTACCTGCTATGGTGGGGTTTAGAACTTATTTCACAGATATATAGAACAATTCTGGTTGTATCTAGGGAGTTATACCGACTCTAGTGACGCTATACTACCATATTATACTTGCTCCTAGCATGTTGTTATACAAGACCAAGACAATTCTAATTATATTCAGGGAGTTATACTAACCCAGTGATATCATACTACTATTTGAATTGTAAACCTCAGAGGTTGGTAGATTCTAAACTTGTTTATCATAGACTTCAATATAGGTGTGACTGGAGCCCAATTCGGTACTTTTATATATACTCAGAATGTTAGACAACTTCTATATTCTTGCCTTTCTATAGTATTTCCATTCTGCACTGCCAGAGGTGCTTCTGCTTCTGATAAGGCCAATTCTTTATCACAGTCCGTCCACATATTCACCACTTTTCTTACTACTCTAACTTTTGGTAATAATGATCACTCTCCCAATCAAGTACTTATATCTTCAATTCAGATAAGGACTAATTCACATAGTTCATTGACCACCCTTCTAAGCAAGTACTTTACAAGTTGGGTGTAAGGATGTTAGTATTGCCTAAACTGGAGATACAAGGATGTTGGTGCTGCTCCGTCTCGAAGGACTTATTTGTACAATCTTCATAGCTGCAGTCTTCTGTAATACCGCCATTATATGTAGTACCTATTCTCCATGTTTAGGTCTCTTTCTGGAAATTCCTAGTCTAGAATCATACTTGCATTTGGACTTAGCTACAGGGTTTTATATTCAATTATGGTCCCCTAAGATTACAGAGACAAATTAAATAATTTGTCTTCAGCCCAACTTGAACCGTCAACCTTGTCTGTGGAAGTTTGAGAGCTTAACTGCTAAGCTATAAGATCCAAATCTGACAGAGTTGGTATTGTATTATTAAATTAAAAATTTATCTTGGGTTTGTATTACTTTAATCAGTTTGCATCTCTTCATATATTATCTTTCTTTATAAATATCTTAATTTCCTACTTATTTGCTCAAATACTACAGAACTCTGAAGAATTTTAATATAACTCAAATATTACTAAAAAAAAAAATTTTGAATAGAAATTTATTAATGAATATTTATAACTATAACCAGTGGTAATAATCACTGATGTATAATTAGCTAATAAATTCGCAGGATCAGGTGTAACGTGTAAATTATTTTGTGTAACAAAAATAAATATTTTTTTAAAAAAATACCAATATCTCAAGAATTCGCCTATGAAACTACCTTCAACGTTCTAACAAAAAAAATTCCTTGCTAAATTTTTGCAAATATTTAATACCTTGCTAAAATCCTAGGCCTTACCCTAACCCTAAAGTAAATGAAATAAAATCTTTTTTTAGTTTATTGTTATTGGCTAATTATATACCAGTGATAATCACTGCCGGTTATTTTAAGTTATTTTCTTCATTAATATTGTATTTTTATATAGTAAATTTTTAAATTTTGGTTCATTTTATACATCTATTTAGCTGATATTATACAAACTTAAATCTGAGTTGTAATAGAGTTTTTTGAGATTCTGAGCTAACTATTAAACTGTACAATTTCTAGTTTTTCTACTATTACAAGGTTTATTCTAATTCTAATACCTATATCTATCTTTTTTTTAGTTCTTATACTGATCTTTCTTAAACTTCTAAGCTAGTTAGCTTAATTAGATCAGTATATCTAGACTTTAAATGCTTCTGGTTTTCTTTTTTTCTGTTTCTAATTTCATAGCATAGAACTTTTTTTTCTGATGCAACTCTAACAGCTAGATTAGTGAACCTTTTTTGCTTCAGAATTATTATATCTAATTCTTTAGTTTTTAGTTTCTAAAGTTTTAGCTTTTATAATATTATTAAAAATCTTTACTATCTTTTTGCTTGGAATTTGCTAAATAAGTTTTAATTATTCTAGTTCTTTGGCTTTGTTTGTGTAATGTTATACAACTTTATCTAAAAGCTTTTATTTAAGATGGTAGTAATACTAAGACTACAGATAATATACTTAATTGATGATATGTGAGTCATGTGAAGAATGATCATAGTGTAATGTGATGCAGATCATATATAAAAATTACTATAGACAGTAATGCAGTGTGCATCTAAAGAAAACTTTTTTCATACTAAGTTAATTGATCTTTTACATTAATAGAAAGTTGTCAGTCTGGTAGATACTAAGATATCATTAAAAAATATTTTGCTAACTATATAAAATTCTATATAAATAATATAATCGGTGAAATGTTTTTTAATGATATCTCAGCATCCACCAAACCGATTTAGATGATCTAACCATCGTTAGATGCGTCTCAACGAGATCTACAACTTTCTATTAATGTAAAAAATCAATTAACTTAGACAAAAAAGTTTTCTTTAAACGC